AAACCTATCAAATTTGTAAGGTAAAAGACTAAAAATGTCATAAGGTGAAAAGATAAAACCTACCAACTTTGTAAGGTAAAGAGTTAAATGTTGATTTTTGCCTCCTTTTGTTGTATTTTATTGATGTATACTATCTTCAAAATATACAATATCTTACCATTATTGTAAGAAGAGGTTAGCATTTTAGAAATAAACCCAAAAATTAAACAAAAGAAAAAAAAGGTGATTTCATGAGTGTAAAAATTGTATACTTTGTTTTTAATTTTAGAGTTATATTTAATTTAAAATTAACTGGTAATAAGTAAAGTAAATTTTTTTATATTTAATCCATAAAATTTGAATTTTGACGTCATATAAAAATTATGAATGTGAGTTTCAATATAAGTATCACATTTAATTTAAAATTAATTAATAATAAATAAAGTAATATTTTTTATATTTAATTTACACATTTATTTATTGTATATTTGATATGGAATTTTTCAATCAACAAGGGCAATCCTTTGATGTTGGGGTGGTTTTCCTTGCATTTGTGTTATCAAATATTCGATTAACGTAGAATAAATTGCAGAACTGATAACTCTAAACAAAAATATTGCTAATAACAAAACCATTTTTTATATATACATAGAAAGATCATAACAAATGCAAAATACACATATTCCATGAATGATTACTTCATCCAACCAACTATGTCTTAAATACGTATAGCTTGCAATTGATTCCTAGTTGTTCTTTTTTTCTTTTTCTTTTTTTTTTTAATTAAAGTGTTTTTGCTAGTGACAGGGCATAGGGCTTTAAATGCATAAAGAGCAGGTTTGAGTTACCCATTCAGAATTAAGGAGAGAGGCTAAATGTGAATGATGGTTGCACAAAACGTACTTTCTTTTTATTGCCAACGATATATTTAAATGAGCCAATGGTTTTTTTTTTTTTGAACTAACAATTTTATTAATCAAAGTTTAAAGGGTATTCTTACTTATCTGTAGTAGTATGAAAGTAATGACCCAATGGTACTATATATATTTTTAGTGAAAGTAAGAAAATTTGTGTTTGAATAATATAACATGTAAGTGGAATAAATTAAAAGACGAGAAATGTTGCCTCTTATTTATTATGCAACTCAAAAAAAAAAAAAAAACCTTGCATTTTTTTGATAAAAAAGTATCTTGGTTGCGCATCCTTCTCCCACTGAATTGATTTCGTGATAATGGTGGCTCCCATATGAGAAAGCTAAGTTATCTTAAAAATCAACAATAATAGAAGAAACTCATTAGGGGTTAGTTAAATGTCAATCTTCAATGGTCAAAGTCGTTGCTTATTCAAATTTCAATCCCCAAATTGCAATTTCCACTCTTTAAACTGACCATTGGAAAATAGAGTCATTTCCAGCCCCTTCCCTTTTCTCATCCCTTTCATTTTCAAACATTGTAGTGGATGGGGTGTTTCGTAATGATATTGAAATAACACATACGATGCATCCCTAAACTTATTTTTCCTAGGACTTTCTACCCTTGAACTTATTTGCTAATGGATATAAGCTCTCAAACAACATGACTTAAGGATCTATATTTAAGGTTTGGGGTTAGAAAGTTTGAACTTAAGATTGCTTAGGGGCTAGGATTTCAGCATCACTACTTAACCAATGGCTCAATCCAAAGGTATCATGATATTTTAGAAAGAAAAGATTGGAAAAGGGTATAGGGACAAGCATATTCTAACAAGAAGTCTCCATTGCATCCAATGTTCCCAAAAATGTTTCTCCTAGTTAGACGATGAACATTTGACCTTCTGTTAGTCAATTATTAAAAATAATTAAAAGAGGGAATTAATAGTTCAATACAAGAACATAGAAAGGTTAAAAATGAGGGATTAATACAAGATGAAACTTTAAATATTTAATTAGAAATTCAAAATATTTAACCTAAAATCAATTAAAAATAGGTGGAATGTGTATTTAAGTTGTCTCCATATTTCCAACAAGAGGTATTTTCGTTTACTAATATTCTCTCACGTTTAGCCTGGTAATAACGAACGCCCACGTTCACATGAGGTAAAAACAGAATTTAGATTATTTGAGCCTCTAACCTAGCTAATGTTTATTAACAAAATTGTAAATGACAGTGTTGAAAAATATAGGATTTAACGCCCATATTCAACGCTTTTATTTTTTATTTTTTATTTTTTTGTGCCGACCGCCCATTGAAGGTTGAAGGTTGCCTCTTAATTTTTGTATGAGCAAATGCCCCACAAGAGAGAAAAGACAAAACTTTGAATAATTGGGAATTCGAATATTTGCAATATTCTTGTATTGTCTATGCAACTTTAGCCGTCCCTGCCGCAAACAAAAAAAAGAAGCTCAATTTGTTTTTCCTTTTTATGAGCAGAAAAACCTTTTTGTCCATGAAAGCATAAGCTATATTCCAACGCTAACAACCACTCAAAACCAGTACATACAGGACAGCCTCAATCCTTAGGACAATGACAAATTTCATCAACACACAATCATGGGAACATGTGCACTGTCACTAAATCACAATGAAGCCCTATCTTGTTTCCCTTTAATGATTTAATGCATAAATATAGAAAACCATATGGACCACAGCGTAACAGAGCAGATTAAAGCCCCAATTTCAAATTAACCTTTCCAAACAGAATTAAGGCGGCTTGGTGTTAGGGGTTAGGTTTTTCCAACAAGTTAGTATATATTTTACATGAACCAAACACGTCCATGTCATTTTTGCTCTCTCAAGCAAGCTAAAGATCCCAAAGATATGCAGTTAGGTTAGGCCTACTAAGGAGCCTTTCATAAAAAGTTCCTCATTACTTGGATAATAGCAATGCACTTTTCTTTGCATCGTTTTCCTGAAATTTATTTGTGAGAACAACTCTTCACAACAAAAAAAACAGGTCCTAAAAATGGAGTTCTTGATGTACTTAAGATCCAATTGATTCTTTTAGCTTATTGAAGTTGATTCAAGTGGTTAAGGATTCTTTAAATCATATAGAAAATACAAATTTGAATCTCTTTAATGTTATTTAAGCATAAACAGTTTTAATAAATCATATACATCACTTTTAAAGTAAAACCTTATCTATCATTTGTGAATGAGATGGTTTGCAAGTATTCATAAAATTAGTCGGGTCAAAACCTAAATGCCTATGTTATCCCAAAAAATAAAATTGATTCTGCCGAAGGCAACTCCATCTAGGTTTTCTTGCAGTCAAAGTTAATTTCCAATTATCTGTGGTGGAAGGAATACACTAGAAAGGCCTGGTCATTTTAATTAGTTTAAATTTGGGCCTAGCTTTTGAAGAATGGGCCGTATGGCCCATAAGAGATCTTATAAATAAGCACATTCATAATTCATAGAACAAAATTTTTTCCAATAAAATGTAAATATCCTTATTTTTCACTTACGCATAAATAAGCAGTGCATCAATACTAGAAATTCCGATCGAAAGTTTTAGGGAGCGGGGAATGAACTTGTTTAACTTTCAAGGTACATGGTTGAAAATTGTGTTACGAAGTTCGAATCATATATCTTCCAAAAGCTACATATTTTGTTATACATTAACGGTTTTTGTTAATGTGCGGTTAAATTTGATAGAAACAGTTAATTTTAACGATAAAAATAATAAAAATTGTCAATTTTAACAGTATAGATGACAAAAACTGTTAATTTTAACGACATATTAACTGCAACCGTTAATGTATAATGAGTGTATAACTTTAAAAAATATATATATCATTTCTCTTCTCTTAAAATATATTTCATGGTTTAATGTTTCAATTAATGTTCTCCCGAATCTTGTGTTTTCATTTATGATTCTTATTAAAAAGCAGCAATAGAGAGAGACAGACTCAAGAATGTTTAGTATGTTATGGAATGATAAGGTGCCAATTAAGTCTCTGCATTTGTGTGGAAAATTATGCAAAATAGAATTCTCACTGGTGATAACCTGTTAAAAAGAGGAATAGTTGGATCAAATACTGATTTTTTGCATGCATTTTTTGTGGAAAATAAACTGAATCCGTAGCCATTTATTCTTCACTTGTGATGCAACCTGGGCAATTTGGCATGCAGCTTACGCGTGGTGGGGATTGCAGGTTGTCCTTACGTGTGAAGGCTGGAAGCATCTATAGCAACATGCCGGTACGGTGCAAAATAAGAAATTGAAGGAAACTTGGTATGTGATATGGTTTACAATTTTTTGGTCCATTTGGTTGTGGAGAAATTAACTGATTTTCAAAGAAGGTAATAACACTCCAGCTACTATGGTGGATTTAATTAAGCTGCATCCACTAAACTGGATTAGGGCCAAGCAAAATACAGATTTGGCTAAAGAATTGTGGCTCGTGAACCCCAAGGAAGCATGTAAATGAAAAAGGAACTTTGAGTGTTTTTGCATTGGGACTGAATTGTGTCATGTAAGATGAACTTTCTATGATGATGTAAAGGGTAGAGTACTCTTTGTACTCTTATTTCAATTTTAATAATATTCATTTTGTCTATCAAAAATAAAAAATTTATGATTCTTATAGGCTAGTACTTGATAGGAAATCGTTGGAGAATAGATAGATTAAGATGTTTGATCATTTTTCAAAGTTAAAAGAAGAAAATTTATCTTCTTCTTTTTTTATTTAACTTGGTCAAAGTCATTCATTTTAACATTCTATTGTATTTTTTTTAGTATCATATAGTATTAATTATCGAAAATGATTTATTAACAATATTTGTTGACAACATGATATGATAATAGTTTTTATTTTTTTTAATATTTGATATGATAGATAAATCAATCTGCACCTACTCATTTGTGTTATGCATTTCTTGTTAGAGGAATTATTGGATATGGTGTTATATGTGTTAAAATAGAGAGAATTAAGAAGTTAAATAAGTTGAAACACACACTAATCAATTCCACCTAGTAGCAAAACCCTCAACACTCAGAAAAAGAGCACAAAACTCAGTTCTACTAACTAATTAAACTACCAAAACCTCACTCCCACTTTATACATGCTTTCCCCCTCGAATTAAATCTTCTGCTCCAGAAGACTGCAGATTCACACCAACAAATCTCACTCAATTACTTAAAAACAACGATCTCCATGAAATTAATTGGAAGGCACATGGTAGTATTTCCCTTTACACATGCACCTGTAAACAATTGGACAAGACTCCGCGGTGCACTTGAAGCTCACCATCACCCTCTTGCAAGGGAAGCATGGTCCGCAGGCATGGGAACAGTCTGGCAGGCTCGACCCTGTCGCGTGCAGCTTCATCACCCCCACGATCTTTTCCTCTCCTTCTTTCTGCATGCATTATAAACATAAATGAAACATTCAAGAATAATTAAAGGGACATTTCTCTTTTTCTTTATTATTTTCCCTTCAAAATTAGTAACGAAACTTGAAGAAACTACTCCCTATCAATTGTATAACCAACAATCAAATGTATTAAAAAGCAACGAGACCCAATTCTAGGAAACAAACCTTAGCATTAATGATGGGTCTTGGATCTCCAGATTTGCTGCTTTCTCCCCTGAAGGTGACTGAAATATGTAACAAACAATTAGAACAAATTGTACTTATTGCATATTACTGTTGCGTATGAAATGTAACGGGACATATATATATAGTGTTACAATGATATTGAGGCGACATGCGAAGGCTTTCAGCAACAAGAAAGATCATCATAAGATGCACCAAAAGAAGCAAATTGCGGCGGAGTAGAAGTGATGAGGAGATCTTCATGTTTCTTTGCACAGTATTAATTGTAGCTAGGTGATTTTGCAGATTTCAGAAAACTTGGAAGGGATATTTAATTAGAAAAGCAGTCAAGCAATTTGGAAAACGAAGGTTGGATGGGAAATTAATGTGATCATGGATACATGTATGGACTGTGGATGACAAAAAGAGCTATAGCATGGTTTTAATTATGAAGGTGCATCTGATGCACACTACCTGATCAGAATTCACATGATACATGGCAATGTTTTCAAGGGTTTCACATGTTTTTGTAAGAACTCTTCCACGACTAGTACCCCCCAAGATGTTGGTACTCTGTTGGTTGACTTACTGAGATTGCCAATGTCTTTATTAATAATATGCAAGTACATTCCTCGCTGTACACTGGACCTTAGTGGGTCCTTAAACTGTTTTTTTTTTTTCTTTTACTAATCTTTTGAATATTTAAAAGTTATATTGAGATTTTTAAAAAAAAATTTCAACATTTATTTTTAAATTTATAAGAGATATATTTTATATAAAAAAATCAAATTTCTTTTATTTAACTTAACAGCTTGTTGATCGGTCCTTAATCTGCATTTGTCTTTGGGGGTTGTAAAAAAATTTTTAGTGGATGTTTGGAGTACTTTACCTAAAATGAATAAAACTTATTTTTTTTATTTTTTATTATATATAATATTATAAATAAATTTTTAATAAAAAAATTAATTATATAATAACACTTTATGTATAAACTTAAAATTTTATATAATATTGTAATTATAGTATTTTCATTATAAATATATATGATATTAACATTTTCAACTGTTTTCTGAAATGAGTATAATTTATGAAATACTTACCATTAAGTGGGTGGGAGATATCCTGTTCGACACAGGTCAACACGGGTGCATCCACCTGAGGATGAGATTCCATAGGTGCTATAGCTTGCCACGAAAGTGTTGGGT